GTCTTCCCCATCTTCACAAACAAGGCGAACCTGAAGAGATCGGTCCTTGCACCTACGCCCCGGCATATACTTCTCATCACACCTAAAGCACACCCCTTTTGCCCTTTTTTCCTGCAGCTACTTCTCAGTCAGCTTTTTGAACTGTCCACCGTTACCCCCACTTCCAGCCTTATCCTTTAGTGCCTCCTTCAGACTCCCTGAAGATCCCCCTTTTGAAGGCAAGATGGTTGTAGTCATCCTGTACGACCCCCCCGAATAGTTTCCCCGGGCTCCTCTTTCAGATTTCTTCTGATCCTCCACCAACTCTGCTAACTCCATAGCCTTCCCTAGGTTCCTCGGCTCCAATACTCTGACAGTGATTCGTATCCCTGGCTTAAGCCCCTTCATGAAGTTCCCCTCCAGGGCGGACTTTGAGATGTGTTCCAATCATCTAGCCGGGTACTCAAATCTGTCTCGATAATCCGCCACCGTCCCCTCCTGAGTCAGGGCAAAGAATTGCTCATAGAAGTCTCCTTCCCTATCGGCTCGGAAACGTTCTAATAGGCAGTTCTTGAACTCCCTCCAACTCCGAATGGGCTCCCTTCAGTCACACCACTAATACCATGCCAAAGTCTTTCCTTCCAGACACAATCTTGCCGCCGTCAGCTTCTCATCCTCTTTCAACCCATTGACAGCAGAGTAATGCTCCACCTTGTAGATCCAGCCATGGCCGTCTTCCCCCTCGAAAACGGGCATCTTCAATTTCCTCACCTTGGGATCTCCCTGGTATCCTCCACGGCCTCCCATTCCTGTCAGAGGAGGCGCTCCCCAATTGTCCCGATCGTCCATCCGACAAATATACTCGAACCCCTCTTCATACTCTCCTCTCCTCCCTTCAACATCATCACCTCGACGTTGAATACCTTCAAATTCAGCACATCGACGCTGACGTTCCTCCCTTTTTCCTTCAAAATCCCCCCTCGACGCTGAATTCTTTCAAATTCAGCACCTCGGCGATGAGATCCCTCTCTCCTCCCACCAAAATCAGCCCCCTTCTGTCATATCCCATACTCATCTCTTCCCTCGAAAGAGCCTCTAGAGGAGGCATGTTGTTCTCTTCCTCTAGGATCTCCACCTCCGAATTTCTCCTCCCCCGCAAGTGGTTTGGATTTCTTCCCTTGCCATGGTCGCCGGTGGTCTCTCTTACATCTGATGTCGCCGGATTGGTCTTCATTTCAAGTAGTTTCTTCATCATTTCCTCCATTGCAGTGAACTTCCCCTCCAACCTTTCATTGTTGGAAGTGATTTGATTTTGAAAGTTGAAGAATCTTTCCTCTAAATCGGCTTTCAATTGGCCGACTTCGCCTTCCAAGACGTCAACATTCTTTCCGGCCATCGTTCTTCCCAACGGATCTAAAAAATATCACTTCCGGAAGTCAAAAGCTCGCTGAAAAAAAAGGGATTTCAGACGCCTAAGGTCCCCAATCGATGCTCTGATACCAATTTGATAGGAAATACTCATATGCACAAGCAATTCCACCCAAAAATAAGTATCGCAGCAGGGAAAACTGTGAACACAACATGAAATCAGCAAATAACAACAGAAAACTGAGGAAATTGGAGAGAAAACTTATAGGAAAAACAATAGAGCAATGGTATTTCACTAGATAATCCAAGAAAACAAGCAATGATACAATTTCCTTCAATTCGAGAGGAATGAAAACTTTCCTAATTCTCCGACATTGCCAAGAGCCCAAAAGAAAACCCTAGATCGCAAAATAAGATACAAACTTCAAGTTACTCCTA